CCTACTTTTACCTGCTGACCCTTTAAAGCGCCTCAGCATCTGTCATTTTCCAGGGAGTTATAATTATCATCAAATCACATTCAAACTAGACAGCGTCACACTTCTTAATAACACAGGTCCAATCCACCAGATCATGCAATACTCCAGGAAAAGATTGAATAGATGATTGGGTTAGGTGTTAAATCTGGGCCGCCAGTAATGAGGCGGCGCTGCGGCGCCTCCATCTGTGCAGAAGGCTAATAACAGGCACATGTGCAGCTCTGCTCCCGCCGTGCACACGTAACCCGCACGTGCACGCCTCACCTCCACATGAAGCACAAGTAGAAACAGACACAATGCGTTCATGGACGTGACACACACACACACACTTTGAACCCACACCACACACCATTTTCACAGTTATACGATGAAGCCAATTAAAGAGATGAGTCTTATTGGAGTGGTGTCCCAGCTCTCATTAATCACCGGGGTTTCCTGGCTCGGCCGGGCGAGATGACGGACTCTCTGTCATCTTTATGAGACCTGTCACATCATGTGCTTATAAGACACCCATCCAAACTTTACTGAGACTCATGATTTAGCAGAGCAGACGTGTGTCCAGTCACCTGTGATTTATTCAAACACGAGTTGTAAGTAGGTCTCCAGTCAGAACCTACGAGTCCCAAGGAAATCCAACGCCCTTTTTTCCTTTGGGCGTGCCCAGTCACGTCATTGGTTATCAAGTCATAGAGTTTGTCAGGTCACTTCAGGTCAGGTCAAGAATCTGGACTAGAATATACTCTCTATATATATATATATAGTTTGTCAAATTAATGTAAAGATAATAATTACAGGGAGCTCGCCAGTTGTCTTTACGATTTCCATTTGACACATAACGGCTCACGGCTCATGTCTCTCAATCATAAAACTCAACATTTATGTTTAGGTTTGACTGAATGACGTGGTTTACATGGACGGAACCCATTCATATCTTGGCTAAATTTTTACATTTTTGAAAATATATATATACTTTTTATTCAAACTGAAGTAAACGTAATAAAACCAAACAAAGTCCAAAAAACTTTTTATTCAAACTGAAATAAACGTAAACGTAATAAAACCAAACAAAGTCCATCAAGTCATCATATCTCCAGTCAAGTCCAGTCCTGAGTCTTAGACTATCGTCTTCTGTTTCCTCTTCCTGCTGGGAAACACGTTATTATCCCTGCTGCAGAGCCCAGTCCCACTGGGACCAGTGAAAGTGGCACCGCAACAATGAGTGTGAGGTGAGGAGAGAAGGTGGAGAGAATCAGATTCCAGGGTTACCCTGGGTAAACATCATCCTGCTCCCTGCTGAAAACGGCTCTTGTTTCCTCGCCTGCCCGGCCCAGAGCCCAGGACCACCTGCAGTCCTGCTGACGACAGCTTCCCTCCACACGCTGGACCATCGGTGCCAAAAGGGGACTAATCCCCCTGCCTCTGTCCTCTTGTACAATAGTGTTGTCACTCGTTCACTCTCTCAGCATACCTTTAGCTGCTCAGCCTGGGGAGTCAGTACCGAGCCGACCGACAGGAGGAGCGCTCAGTTCCCACGACACTCGCTATTCATAGCGTTCTACTGGAATCTCTGACCTGTTCTGACTCGTCTCATGAAACCTGCTCCTCATAATGACGGGCATTGATTGTCTGACACTTTTTCAGTTCACCCTGACATCTGTCCAATTTCTGAGATGTGTCTCAGCGATGTCGAAGCCGTGGTTGGCTGCAGCCGAGTGTTTGAGGAAATGTGTCTGAACATGTCAGTGACATGGAAGTTGGTCTGTGTCTCTGAGGATGTGGCCCAGAGTCTGGTCTAGGGATGGTTCTGGTTAATGATTTCCCAGGGTCAGCTGCTTTTTTCCTGCCCTTACAAGCTGAGCAGATTACAACCAAGCGCTTCATTAATGATTTATCCACGAAATTAAAATTCCATGGGTTTTTCTTCTCACTGGAGACCGTACGAGAACTTGTCCTCCACGGACAAAAGCTCCTCTGACACTTGTAACCAAGTCAATTTGGCGATTCATTTGGTTTCTAACCGTCTGGTGAATTCTACATATTTACACTTATTCCCTGTCCTCCTCAGACTTCTGAGACCTCAGCACCAGCCTCGCTGATAGGACCGGTGTAGGCCTTATGGGTTATCAGGGGTAAACATGGGCAGGAAGCCCCACAGACTCTGTGGCTCTGACTTAAACTCTGCAGCCCTGACCTCCACACCAAACAGATACACAGCTGTGAGAACAAATCACAGCCACAAGAAGAAAAGAGGTTTGTTTTTTGGCCCAGAAGCATGAAGAGAAGAAACACAAGGTTCTCCACTGCCGTCCAGTGTGTTTGATGACAGCTGTGCACTAATCTGAAATTTCCCCTCAGTCGTCCTCCAGAAAGTAGGAGCAGCTTTAAAGACCGGCAGAAATCACTGCAGGGGAAAGTTCTTTTCTGTCTGTTACTCCAACAGCAGATATGTGACACGGTGATGGATGAGACGAGGAGACGACGAGTCTCCCCCATTGTCACGCGCTGCACTGATCACAGCTTCTATTTTTATTAATATGCACTTAACACGAGAGTGTGTTTCCTTAATCCTCCTCCGTCTCCCGGTCTCACTTTCATCATCACATTTATCTGGTGCTCCGTCTTTACAGAACAAGGCATTGATTGCCAACATAAATTGAAACGCCATTACACACCAGATGAGAGCAGTGAAGAGGTTTTCATGGCCCTTTTAGCACAGCAACCTTCATGACATGCAGAGGAGAGCGGTCTTCCTGGAGTTCTACTGCCCCCTTGTGCTTGTCTAGGTTCAGTTCAGGTGAACATAAAACAGCACATCAGTGAGGATTTGTGCAACTTTTCCACTGAACTTTGCACAGAGACAGAAAAGACTACCGCGAATCTCTGTGGTGTTTTTGGTCTTTAACTGTGATCGATTCTGGGGGTTTTTTCTAATCACTGTAAAACTCCTCCTGTTCCACTTTTGTCTTTGTCCACTTTGGTGGTACGACTGTTCCCGCTCGCTGTCATTCCTCCCCTCTGCTTTCTCCCCCTTTTACTCCTTCCTCCTTTCATAGTGGTTGAACACTGACTCTGACACTAAATGCTGCTGAGTGTATGATTTAATTTGTCGTCTAATAACATCTGTGAAGGTTCTTCCATTTTACTTTGCATTGTTAATATAAACTCTGTTGTGTGCAATCACAGCAGGTTTAATAATACAAAACAAAAACAACAACCCCTCCTGGAACTGCAATCTTAACGTGGTGGAGGGGTTTGAGGGGTTTGAGTACCGAATTAATCTAGGAGCTATGTTGTCGGGGGCTTAATGCCCCCGGTAGGGTCTCCCAAGGCAAACAGGTCCTAGACGACGGACCAGACTAAGAGCGTTTCAAATTCCTCTTGATGATGGCAACAATAAGAACTAAGAAGTTCACATTGCCCCAATTGGCGTGTATTGGAATTCTCCACTTCCGTTGAAAACATTTTTTTTTCAATTTTTTTCAAAAAAGTTTTTTTCTAGGAAAAAACTTTTTTTAAAGAAATTTTTTTTTGAAAAATCTTTCAGAAAAAAATGTGATTGAAAAAAATAGATTCTTTGAAAAAATGAAATTCTAAAAAAATTTTCAATAACATTTTTTTCTAAAGACATTTTCAATAAAAAATTTTTCTAAAAAAATTTTTTTTCTAAAAGAATTCTTTAAAAAAATTTTTTGTCATGTTTTAAGACCTAGTCTTGCATTT